GCACACAGCTCCTCTGATACAGACATGCGTGGGTGTCTTAACTGCTATGCCAAGTGTGCACCCCTGGTTTCTGTGTTTTATAGTCCTGCCATCCCTCTTGAAACAATGGGTCCTGCAAACTGAAAAAGATAGCATTAACCTAGCCTACTCGCCTTCCTACTTGAGGTTCTTAAGAAACTGTCAAACTCTTCCAGAATGGCTGCACCACTTTACGTTCCCACCAGAAAAATGTGAGGGGCGTCCAGCTGCTCTATGACCTTGCCCGAGTTCGATGACGTCCTTGTTTTCCGTTTCAGCCATTGTGATAAGCATCTAGTGGCAGCTCCTTGGGGGTTTCCTTTGCCCCTTCCCAGTGGCTGCTGGTCATCTGTAGTCCTCTTCGTGAGCATGCATTCTGCCTACTTTCTAACTGGATTTTAAAAAAAAAGTTTGGCTTTGAGAGTTCTGTAGGCATTGCAGGTTCTAGTCCTTTGACAAATGCTTTGCAAATATTGTCTCCCACCCTGTGCTTATCTTTTATCCGTTTAGCAAGGCTCTGTTTGGCAGAGTGAAGGTTTTTAATTTTGGTGAGGTCCACTTTTTCACCTTTCTTTTAATGGATATCATTTGCTGGCTAGTCAAAGAATTCTTTGCTATCCCCAGATTTTTTCTCTAGAAGTTTTTTATTTCATGTTTTATATTTATGTCCATGAGTTATGCTTTGTGTAAATTATGAGACATACACAGAAGTTCGTATTTTTACCTCCAGTTGTCTGCTCGCGCCAGCACTGTTGGAAGTGCAATATTTCCACAATTAGGCTGCTTTTGTCCTTTTGTCACAAATCACTTGGACGTATTTGTGTGGCTCCTTTTCTGGGTTTTCTGTTCTGTTTCACCAACGTATTTGTCTCTCTCTCTATGTACTACATAGTCTTGATTAGGTATCTGTATAAGATTTGAAACTAGGTATACTTCCTTTATGAGTCCACATAAATAACTTGTCTTTGTCTACAAAGAATCTTGCTGGGATTGATATTAAATATTTATACCAATTTAGGGATAATTGACATTATTACATTGGTAAGTCTAACATTTAGTTCATATTTGGTTCCATAATTTTTGGCATAGAAATCCTGTACATGCTTTGTTAGATTTACACCTAAATATTTATTTATTGAGTGATTGTAAATACTATTTCATTTTTAATTTCAGTGTCTATGTGTTCATTGCTAATGTATAAAAAATAGCTTGCCAGTTCTAGGAGTTTGTTTTTCTTGCAGTAAATTCTTCATGATTTTCCAAGTAGATACTGTGCCATCTGGAAATAGGCACTGTTTTGTTTTTTCTTCCTGATCTGAATGTCTTTTATGTTCTTCTCTTGCCCTACTGAGGCCAAATGAGTGGTGAGTGCCTTGCTCCTGATCTATGGTGAGAGCTGATGGTTCCTCTCTGTTGGGTGTGGTGCTAGCTGCTTGCTCCTGATCTATGGTGAGAGCTGATGGTTCCTCTCTGTTGGGTGTGGTGCTAGCTGCTTGCTCCTGATCTATGGTGAGAGCTGATGGTTCCTCTCTGTTGGGTGTGGTGCTAGCTGCTTGTTCCTGATCTATGATGAGAGCTGATGGTTCCTCTCTGTTGGGTGTGGTGCTAGCTGCTTGTTCCTGCTCTATAGTGAGAGCTGATGGTTCCTCTCTGTTGGGTGTGGTGCTAGCTGCCTGATCTATGGTGAGAGCTGATGGTTCCTCTCTGTTGGGTGTGGTGCTAGCTGCTTGCTCCTGATCTATGGTGAGAGCTGATGGTTCCTCTCTGTTGGGTGTGGTGCTAGCTGCTTGCTCCAGATCTATGGTGAGAGCTGATGGTTCCTCTCTGTTGGGTGTGGTGCTAGCTGCTTGCTCCTGATCTATGGTGAGAGCTGATGGTTCCTCTCTGTTGGGTGTGGTGCTGGCTGTAGGATTTTTGTAGGCACTCCTTATGGGATTGTGGAAGTTTCTCTGGATTTCCATTTTTCTGACAGCGTCATCATGAGTGAGTGTTGAATATCTTCAAGTGTTCTTTCTAGTTGACTGTTATGATCATGTGGTCTTTTTTCTTTAACCTATTAATAAGGCGCATGACACTCCTAGTGTTGCTTTAACTGCACCACAAATTTTGATATGTTGCTGTATTTTCATTTAGCTTAAGGTATTCTTTCCTCATACCCCACCCCTTGCCTGGAATTTTTTGGACTTGCAGATTATTTAGAAATGTGTTGTTTGGAGCTTCTCCATCACTGATTTCTAGGTTAAAGAACATACCCTGAGTCATTCCAGTTCTTTTAATTTTCTGAGAGCTGTTGTATGGCCCAGGATTTGTCCTATCATGTTATATATCCCACAGGCCATCAAATGCGTATTTTGTTTTGTTCCACAAATTGTTTATTAGATTCTCTTGATTGATGGTATTTTTGAATTCTCCTCTATTTTTACTGATTTTCTGTTTAGTTGTTCTCCCACGTGGGTGCAGGGGCCCAAGCACTTGGACCATCTTCTACTGCTTTCCCAGGCCATAGCAGAGAGTTGGATCAGAAGTGGAGCTGACAGGATTCAAACTGGTGTCCATGTGGGATGCTGGCACTACAGGTGGTGGCTTTACCTGCTATGCAACAATGCCGGCCTCCTTTATTCCACAATTTTAATTTTATTCTTCCTATATCATTATACTTAAGTGAACTTAAATATTTTTAAAAATACTCAGCCATCATCTGTGTTTTCATTGCTTTATTTAGCCCATTTATATTTAATATGATTATTGATATGTTAAGACTTAAATATCTTTAACTTCTGTTTTCTGCTTGTTCTATTTTTTTCCTCCCTTCCTTTGGGATATTTTAATATTTTTAAACATCCATTTTAACTTATCTGTAATGCTTTTTGAGTGTTTGTCTTTGATAGCTTGTGTTAGTCATTCTTCCAGATATCACATTATATATGCATTCCTCCTCATATCTGACTAGTGTCAGAATTTTACCAGTTTGGATAAAGTATAGAAGCTTTACCCCCTTTATGTCACTTTGCCTGTTCCTCTCACTTTTAGTTGTTTAGATATTTCTCCACATGGTTTAAAAGGACATCAGCCATTAAGTCAGACCTAAAACTCAAGGGAAGAAATGCTTGTTGTGTGTGCCCATGTTGCTGCTTGCCGTGGTCCTTCCGTTCTGATGTCCCAAGTTTCCTTCGTTTGTTGTTTCCTTTCTGTTGAGAGGAGTTCCTCTGGTGATTCTTTCACAGTAGGTCTTCTGATGAAAAACTCTCTAAGTTTGTCTGAGAATGTCTCAATTGTCCACCCACCCCGTTTTAACTCAAGTGCACGGTGCCTGCCGAGATCCCAGGAAAGCTCGGAGGTTGGGGCTGGGGGCACAGGGTCTTCCTTAGACTGCCCAGTCCAGATGCCCCTTAGCTGGCCAGCTGTTGTCCGTTGGGACTGAGCCCTTACCACAGATCCCAGAATCAACACAGCTCAGACCTCCGTGCGCTTTAGACAAAGAACATTCCTGAATTGCAGTGACACTTAGATTTTACAAATTAAATTTTTTTCAGTGGGAAGTTACTTTTAGGTCTTTGATTTTTTTTTTGTTTCATAATCAGAGGAACCTAAGGCTATCCTTTTGGGAATTGCATGGTTAAAATATATTTCTTTTCTAAGTCTACAGTGCTAGATAGTGTACTCACATTAAAATGAGCTTTCCATTGAGCAAACTCCTGGGAATGGGCCAATTATAGTGACATAAACACACATTTCATAGAAGGTACGTTTGGCAAATGGAATAGATTTGCTTATTTTCAGTACATTTAGTCCTCGGTAAGGGTAAGAGTGACTGTGGGGCCTGTTTTCCCTGTAGCGAATTGTTTAGAACAAGCTGGAGGCCACTGTATTTGGTGACTTTTCCCATCCACTTCCGCTTTGGGTAGCGCCAATGAGCCTTCTATGATTTGAAAATATGCCAACTGAATCTTAGCATTTTTAAACTTAAAAATTTTGGGATTGGCATTTGAAAAAATATTTAAATGTGTTCATGAAAACAGATTCCATCTACTGAGTCTCCTAATTCCACCCAGAATATGTGGTTCTGTACCTGCACACCACACTCACACACACACAACACACACACACATAGCTATCCTGATTTGAAGATTTTGGTAATGTGTTTTTGTACAGGGCATAAAAATATATCTCTGTAATTACATGATATTTAGTGATTAGATAATTGTGGATAATTGCATGGGGTAGTTCTAAGTGCTGAAGTGTTACCATAAGATCTAAAATGTACAAATTGCATAATAATTATTCTTGGGAGTTATTTGGTAATTCTGAGCGTAATTATCATGTGATCCACAGTGCATGTAATTAATGCATAATCACATGGATTTTGCCTTCATAACTACTTCACCCTTGTTATAAGGCTCTTTGTCATAACATTTGAGTGTAAATATAATGTAATTGGCTCCCAGATACAGTACATTAAGCCCCATGATAATTGCTTTCACAGTTACAATACCCCCTATTCCATTCCGAATGCTTGCCTCTTAAGCAAGATGGGGTTAGGAAGAGCAAATTACCCATGATATGGGGGTGAGCAGGCAGACGAGTGAGTGAGTGGTGGGTAGACCTCCACACTCTGATTTTGCTCTGACCAAAACCTTGCATCTAGAAAAATTTCCATCTTTTACACTGGACAAAAATCTGCTTTCTAACTAAAGTCACGTATGGGTGAATGCCACTTACTCTCTGGCCACACAGAGGCAACATCCATGAAGCCTTTTAAGAAGAGATAGCAGAGCTCCCATTATTTTTGTGGTCTAGAAGGTTCAGAAAGCTGGACTTCCTAAAAGGAGGAGATCACACATGTGGTGCAGAGGTGGAGGCCCTTGGTTTGTTGATGACATCATCAGCTGGAGTGGTAGCACTCGAAAGGAGGCGGTTAGAGAAGAAACAGCTCTGGCTAAACTTCCAAGTGATAACGCAGCTCTTGCTACTTTCTGTCACAGGTTTCACGTGGCAGGATGACTACACGCAGCGTGTGATGGCCCAGGAACTTGCGCACCTACCCAAAACCTACCCATGGCATCCTGAAGTTTCCAACCCAGCCAGGTATGTGTAGACTCAGTTTATCTCGTCTTGTTTCTCAGCCAGCGCTGTACCCATTAAGTCTACTGTGCTATTTTTTTTTAATGTGTCGTATTACCCACCATCTTTCTGATGTAGAACTTTAAGAAAGTTGAGCTGTCTAGGAAGAATTTGGTGCTTTCTCTCTGCTGTTTCCTAGCCCATGAGAGAAAGGTACATTGGAATGACTCTCTAAAGAGGTGCCCTTGTCATTGGGAGACACGTCCAAGGGTCCTTCCCCATTTTTCCATGAGACCTTGGGAAAAATCCCTGAATTTATGTTCACCATAGTACAAAGGAAAATCTTTTTCTTCTCTCTCCCAAAGCATAATAATCTATTCTGAGCTATATATATGTTGTTTCATATCATCTCATTTTATCCCCACTGCGGACTTGGGAGTGGATACTATGTAATGCCCATTCTCATAGGTGAGGATGTTGAGACAATTGGGAAGTTGAAAAAGTAGTTCAAAGATGAATCACAGTAGGAGTCAGAGTTGGGGGTGGTGTGCAGTGAGCTTCCATCTGCTGGTTTACTCCCCGGATGCCTACGACAGTCAAGGGCAGGGCCAGGGTTAGAGCCAGAAGGCAGTCACTCAATTCACATCTCCCAGAAGGGCGGCAGGAACCTAGCTACTGAAGCCATCAGTGCTGCCTCCCAGAGCCCACATTAACAGGATGATAGAATCAGGAGCTGGAGCCAGGAATTGAACCCAGGTCGTCCAATGGGAGGCACGGGCATCTTAACCAGTGTCCTAGCTACTAGGCTAAGTGCCCACGCTGCACTTTAAGTTGGATAATTGGGGTTCCCTGTGAAACTGGCTCAGGAGCCAGGCAGTGGGAGAACAGGGAAGAGGAACTCAGGAGAACTCCTTGTGTCACCTAGGAAAGCAGTAACAGGTGCGAGCCAAGCAGTCCCCAAGTAGGGATTTCCAGAGGGAACCTGTGTCTGAGAAATCAAACAAATTGGCACACTGGAGAGTGGCCTAGGTTGTTCATTGTCAACAGCACCGAATGTGGCTTTGGATGTTTTAAAAATACCAGTCTGACTTTGCAAAATGACACCTTTGTTTCTTTTGGTTCATTATAAGTGACATTAAAAGTGTAAAGAGGGTTAGTGTTACAACAATTGGAACTTTCTTCTTTATAATTTTCCTGTACATGATCATGGTCCACGTAAAACCCAGTTCAGCATAGCCCTAAAAACAAGCCCTTCCGGGAAGGGTTGCATGGACAGTCCTAGACCCCTGAGAGTTCCCTATTTGTTAACTTACTGTGGGTTGTGCTATGAGCTGCTCTTGGCTCCTCCAGGTCGGGCACAGTCTGACCCCACTGTGTTTGTGTGAACAGTTTCTGGGTTAGTGGGAGTGGGTGATGGACCACGGAGACTTGGTCTCAGCATGGTGTCTGGGAGGTCTTAGGTCCCTGGGGGCGTGCCCTCTAAGGTGGTTCTCATGCGGCGGTGGTCGTAGAAGCAGAGCTGTGCCCTCTGTTTCTACTTGTCACATGATTCTCCCTCTGCATGCATTATGCCTTCAGCAGACAGTAGACAAATGCAGCCACTGATGAACCTCCAAACCGTAAGCTCAAATAAACTTTTTTTTTTAAAGATTTATTTATTTGAGAGGCAGAGTTACAGACACAGAGAGAGAGAGGTCTTCCATCTACTGGTTTAATCCCCAAATGGCCACAATGGCCAGACCTGGGCTGATCTGAAGCCAGGAGCCAGGAGCTTCTTCCGAGTCTCCCACGTGGGTACAGGGGCCCAAGGACTTGGGCCATCCTCTACTGCTTGCCCAGGCCATAGCAGAGAGCTGGATCGGAAGTGGAGCAGCCAGGACTTGAACCAGCAGCCATATGGGATGCAGGCACTGCAGGCAGAGGCTTTACCTACTACGCCTCAGGGCTGGGCCCCTAAAATAAACTTTCTACCTACTGAAGAAGCTCCTCTTTGGAGCTTTAGTTGTGTGGTAATGAAAAGCTGACTCTGCAGCGTATGTACTATCCTACTGCAGTGTAAGAATTATTCTGCGTATGTGTAGTTATAATCTCTTTGCTACTTTAAACTCAGTTTTTCTTTTCATCTTTTTAACATGATTTTTAAAAAAGGAATATCTCTTGGATTTTCTTCTTTCAGCTACTCTTAGATTTACTTTTTTTTAAAAAAATACTTCTTTAATTGAACTTAAATTTTTACTTTTTAAAAATTCTTTATATTTATGGGGAGGGCCCTGTGGAAGTTAAGTACACACACACACACACACACACACACACATACACAGTAATGTATAATGATCAGATGATAGTCATGGGTGCTATCTCTTACCTCAGACACAAATTCCTGTTTTATGTTGGAAGAGTTGAGCATTTTGTCCTTATTTTTATTTACTTGTTTTTAAGGAATAATGGAATCATATAAATTCTATTCACTTGCCTTGGAGCGTAATGTGGCATAACTCTATAATGTATTCTCATTTGCTTTTGTTCTAAATTATCTATGATTATCACTTTATGTCCTTTTAAACAATAAGTGTTGGGTAGGGTTTTTGATGTTTCCATGTCCTCTTTAAACTTTAAATGAGTGTTTAATTCTACTGCATTTTAGTCAGAATATGACTTGTGCAACTTGCACTTTGGTGTGTCCTACTTTTACTTTTTCTAATATTCAGTAGGTGGTTCGGGAAGATATTTGTACTCATTATTTATGGGATATAAACATGAACTTTTTGAAGTTCTCTTATGTTGTGGATTCCAAAACTTTAAAAAACTTATTTGTTTTTAAATATTTTTAATTCATTTTTAAGATTCAGTATGGTTTTTAGATACAATTCTAAGCGCATAATGCTATTCCCTCCTACCCTCCCTCCCTCCCTCTTTCTCCCTCCCACCCTCCCTCCCTCCCCCTTTCTCCCTCCCACCTGCTTTTCTTCTCCCTTTCTGTTGTTTTAGAAATTTTTGGGATAGCATACTTTAAATTTGCATTACAGTAAAAAGGCTTAATACTTTACTGAATAAGAAGTTTAACGAATAAAAAGCAAAAAGACCCTAGTTTAGTGGGAATATACCCAATGGCTATAAGCAATAATTGAATTGAAAAAGGGCCATTTCACCCATATATAGTACATTTCAATGTAATCACAGATCATTAAAACTGTAGAAGTATAACATTCTTAACCATTGGTTTGACAAAGGCATAAAACAAAGTTTCACAAAACTGTTTGCAGCAATACTGATGCACACATGCGTTCCTTCCTTCTTTTCTTTTTAAATTTTAGCTCCCACATATAAGGTGGAACATGTGGTGTTTGTCTTTCTGGGTCTGACTTATTTCATTCAACATAATGTCCTCCAGTTGCATCCATTTTGCTGCACATGATAGAATTTCATTATTTATTATAGCTAAGTAATATTCCCTTGTATGTATGTATGTATATATGTATATATATATGTGTGTATATATATATGTATATATATATATATATATATATATATACACACACACCACATTTTCTTTATCCATTCATCCAATGATGGACACCTTGATTGACTCCATATTGTGGCTGTTGTGAACAGTGCTGCTATAACCATGGTGGTGCAGTGTCTCTGATACATTGTGTTCATGTCTTTTGGGGATATACCCAGTAATGAGATTGCTGGATCATATGGCAAGTCTATTTCTAGTTTTTTTTTTTTTTTTTTAAGAAATCTCCTCAGGCTGGCGCTGTAGCTCAATAGGCTAATTCTCCACCTTGCGGTGCTGGCACACTGGGTTCTAGTCCTGGTCGGGGCGCCGGATTCTGTCCCGGTTGCCCCTCTTCCAGGCCAGCTCTCTGCTGTGTCCTGGGAGTGCAGTGGAGGATGGCCCACGTGCTTGGGCCCTGCACCCCATGGGAGACCAGGAGAAGCACCTGGCTCCTGGCTTTGGATCAGCGCGGTGCGCCTGCCGCAGTGCGCCGGCTGCGGCGTCCATTGGAGGGTGAACCAATGGCAAAAGGAAGACCTTTCTCTCTGTCTCTCTCTCTCTCACTGTCCACTCTGCCTGTAAAGAAAACAAACAAAACAAAACAAAAAAAAACCACTCCTCTGTGTTTTCCACAGTGGCTGCTAATTCATGTTCCCACCAACATTGTATGTGTTCCCCTTTGTTCACATCCTCAATAACATTTGTTACTTTCTGTGTTTTGGGTTTTAGCCATTTTGATAGGGTGAGGTGATATCTCATTATGGTTTTGATTTGCATTTGATTTGATGGCTAGTGATGTTGAGCATTTTTTTGTATATTTGTTAGCCATTTTATTTCTTCTTTTTAGAACTGTCTGCTGAGGTCCTTTGTCCATTTCTTAACCGTGTTGGTTGTTTTTGTTTTTGTTGTTGAGTTTTTAAATTTGCTGATATATTCTTGTGGGGAGCAATCCGGACTAGACTAAGTTACTCGAATTGGGACTTATTCTATGCATCTGCTCTCCCACAATATGGCGCTGGGAGAGAAGTAAACAGCTTCCGCACAGCTGCCTCCAGTTCAACTAATAAACTGTAGGACTTGCTCCTGATTGGAGGAGAGCAGCGTACTCGGCGTGTGGGCAGCCGAGTTGGGATTGGCGGAGGAGGACTATAAAGGAGGAGAGAGACGGCATGCACCGGGAACATCTATGGGGAACATCTAAGGGAACCCGTGCAGCCCCCGAGAAAGCCGGCCGGCGGTGTGCCGCTCCCCTGCGGAAGTGGGGAATGTGACCAGGGGGAACTGCCCTTCCACGGA